AGGCTGCACCTCCTGCCCAGGTGGGCAGACAGGTTTGGACGATGTGCAGAGCCCGGGACTCGGCTGAGGAAGAGAACCCCTTTGGTGCAGACCGCGGGAAGAGCCACGTGTGGGGCCTTGGGGAGTGGGAGGTGGACCCGGGGCTCCGCACAGGAGGAGGGGGAGGGGGTGGCAGAGGCTCCAGCCGGTGCCAGCCACCGGTCGCGTGTCCTGGAGCGTGCCAGGGCCTGGCCCCGTGAGCACTCTGAGGGCTGTGCCAGGCAGTCCCAGCTGGGCTCGGCAGCGTCCGGCTCTCCTGGAGGGCCGTCCGGCGCCAGGAGGAGACTGGGCCGGGCCCGGGGATGCGGCTGGAGCTGGTGCTGTGCGGTCAGCCCCCGGGTCCCGTCCCCCGGAGGTCGGGCCGGGTGATGCAGTGTGTAGGCGTAGGGGTGGGCAGGGCGACTCACTGATGTGAAGGATGGGGCGGGGGCGCCTAGGGAGGTCTCCTGGGCTGCCGCGGCATTTGGCCCAGGCCCCCGCGGCGCTGTGGTCAGTGACTTGGAGGGGAAAGGAAAGACCCGTGTGCGCGGGGCGCAGGGCAGAGGGGGGAGCGGCGAGCGCAGGGCCAGCGCCGGCCACCCCCAGCCCAGATGGGCAGAGGCTGGTCTGAGCAAATGGGGGCAGAGAGGTAGAAGGAGCCAATGCCAGGAGGCCGGCCGTGGAGCCCATCACAAGCGGTAGGCCATCCAGCCGGAGGGAGGCGCCCATCACAAGCGGTAGGCCATCCAGCCAGAGGGAGACGCCCATCACAAGAGGTAGGCCATCCAGCCGGAGGGAGGCGACAGGCTGGGCAGCGGGACATTCAGCTCCGCTGTGGACCCCACTATGGGGACCCAGCCTTGACGACCCAGGGGAAGCCGGAGGTAGAGGGGCTCAGGGGCCACGTGCCCACTTTCCGGGCTCGGCAGGGGCTTCGGGGCCCAAGGCGTGGGGCTCTGTAGGGCTGAGCTGTGAGAGGGGGTAAAGCCCCACGAGGAGGGCCACAGACTCCTTAGGCAGGGCCGTTTGCCAGTGCGTGGGCGCCTGGGTGGCAGTGAACTCCAGCTGGGCACCTTTCCCATCTGGCTGTTTGGGGGAGGGGTGCTGGGGGTTCCATCCGACCAGCCTGGACGACTCTGGGGCCAGTGGTGTGACGGGCAGGCCTGCCCTGCTGTCGCCCCCACCAGCATCAGAGCCTGGTCCCCCGGGGGCCGCGTGGGTCCCGAGGCGGCCGCTGCGTCCCAGGTCTGGGGAGGAGGCAGCAAGCACCCAAGGGTCAGACACTGCAGTGGGCAGCAGCGACTGAAGCAGGGATGGGGTCCCATCCAGAGGGCAGGGTGGGATCTTGCATGGGGCGTGCAGCGAGCGGGCAGCACCGGGGAACGGGGCTGGCACAGGTCTGGGACTGGGCTGGTCTGCGGCAGGATGTAGAGCCGGAATCCATGGGAACAGAGGCCCCTCCCACACCACCCTGTCCTGCAGGTGGGGAGGCAGGAGACGGGCGCACCAGTCTGGGAGGTACCGGGACTGTGGGTCACACAGTAGAGGGTGGGCTTCACCTCTGGACCCCGGGGGAGGATGGGAAGAGAGAGGCGGGGCTGTGGTGGGGGTCCCGGCTCTGTGTGCTGTGCCCCGTCCATGCCCGCCTCCCTTGGCCACGATGCCCCTCGTCGTGTCTTCTAGCGGCCACCTTCCTCTCTCCGAGGGCCTCCTCCCACCGTGGCCCCTTGTCCCTCCAGGCTGGGTGCAGGCACAGGGGCCCCCTCACCTGAGAGGACCTCTTGCCAGTGACTGCCCCCCAAATAAAGCTTGGAATAGGGGTCCTCTTCTGGGGCCCTCGAGCCACAGTGTGGGGTCAGCACTGGTTTTCCTGGCAGCCTCTAAGATCTGTAAGGGAAGAGGAAATGTCACCCATCTCTGGGTCCCTAGCACCTGGCAAAGCAAAGTGCTGGCAAAGAAAGGGAGGGGGAGGGAAGTGGGGGAGGGGGAGGGAAGTGGGGAGACAGAGGCCCTGGGGGTGGAGGAACGCGCGAACACAGGCCATCCTAGGCAGGCTGAGGGGAGCTGTCTGGGCTGGCTGGGAGGCTGTGGAGCAGGTGGCAGGTGTCGGGGTGTCGTCCGGGGTAGCCCGGCCCAGGGGGGGAGGCTGGGGCGGTGACGGAGCGGGGGCTGTGGTCCCGCGTCTCCCCTTACCAGGGGAGACCTCAGGCCCTGCAGCATCATCTCCCGCCTTCTTGTCAGCTCTAAAGTGGGGTGCCGAGCCGGCCGAGAACCGGGCGGTGGAACTGCCCCAGCTGAGTGGGGTCTGGAGCTGGCAGACGTGGCCCCCAGGGGCCAGTGGGGTGAAGGCCCAGAGGAGACGGGGATGGGGGCGTGGCCCGAGGGTCCCTGGTGGCTGGAGGGCTGAGGCATAGGCAGCCTCCCCAGTTTGCCCCGGGGCTGGCTGGAAAGTCGTGCAGGAGAGGGTCGTTGCCTTTGGGGGCTCTGGGCAGGGCAGCTAGGGGTTCCCCCGAACGAGACGCCCCCAAGAACTGCCCCACTGGGAGAAGACGAAGGGGTGTTGGGCACGGAGGCCACACTGTGATGCAGAGATTCGGCCCTGTCTGCTGTGAGGCGGGGGCGGTGCCCCCTAGGGGCAGGAGGCAGTGCCGGG